TAGAAACTAATGGCCCATATCTGATTATTTAACTTTGAAATGACCCCTTTGACATGTTTTATTTTTTATTTTTTAATTATTTTTCTGAGTTTGATTCCGATGAAGGTTTCAGTGACGACATTCAGACCCACAGAGGCCTCACACCCACAACCTAGCCTATAAAGCCTGAGGAGACATTGTGCATGTAAGGCTACAAGGGCTCTTTAGACGACATGTTGCTTTTAAGAATGAATGAAAAAATAGAGCGGTGGGTTCTGTGAGGAAGGAGGGAGTAACTGAGGGATGGATGAATAGTCAGAGGATGAAGAGAAAGAGAGAGAGCCACTGAACAGGTTCTAGAGCAGAAACACAGATATATTTAGCTTCATCTCCCCACTGCAATAGTGAACAACCTCTTTGTCATGCTGTGGGATTATATGAATAATACAAAAACGCTATCATATAGCACATGTATATTTCTCTGAGACCATATCTTGGTGGACATCTTGGGATTTTGTGAGATACCACATATCTGGGGGTTTGACCACAACAACGTAAAAATAATTGGTTTTATTAATTGGTTTTAAAACATGCATGTAGCTGACATCATAATTATGTAAATCACAAGGAAAGGGGAACAGTTGGTTTATTATTTTAAAATTATCATTAGTATTTTAGATTATTGTTTTTTGAATTTCAACATTTCAGAGACATTTTATCTATTACAAAGAAAAAAATAATTCCTTATATAGTTTCCATTATATATTTTCACCTGCTGAAGAAACAAAACATGTAAAATAGGAGGAAAAAACAATATTTTTAGTTAAATATAAAAATACATATAAAAATATGAAATATAAAAATATGAGTTTATGAATAAGTTTGAGAAAACACATTTTGCTAATTTTTTGCAGTTAAAAATAAATAGTATAGAAAATAATAAAAAAATCAGTTTTATAGAAATATATTCTATAAAATTAGTTGAGAAACTATGTGCAATGTTTATTTCCTGTATGTTTTTTGGAAGCTGGGGTGAAAATCAGTTGACTGAAAACAGCATTGAATTTTTTAAATTACAATTAATAAACAGACTACTTCAAATATTTGGGGTCAGTGAGACTTTTTCAGATGTTTTTGAAAGAAGTCTCTTATGCTCACTAAGGCTACATTTATTTGATCAAAAATTCAGCAAAAACTGAAATATTGTGAAATATTATTGCAATTTTAAAGAACAGTTTTTTCCCCCCACATATTTTAAAATGTAATTTATTCCTGTGATGCAATGCTGAATTTACAAAAATGTTTCTTATTATTATGAGTGTTAAAAACAGTTTTTGCTGCTTAATATTTTTGTGGAATCTGTGATACATTTTACAGCATTCTTGGATAAATAGAAAGATCCATTTATTGTGTCCTGGTTGAATAAAATATACATTACGTTCTAAAAACAACACAAAATTTTGAATGAAATCTTCTCATGTTAAAGGTCATCCCAAATTCACATCCTTTAATACCTTCTTACCTTTGTATACTGCATGAAAAGGCATAATTTTTTTTAGATTTTGGACACAGTCTGTCTCTCTGATTCTAGGCACTAATGCATGCTGGGTCATTAGTCTGAGAGGGGCTGTTTCTACAACAACTGCACTCTTCAGGAATGTCTCTGTGTTTGTGTGTGTGTGGTAGAGACTGCACTCGGCTCTTGATTAGCTGTGAATTCTTGAGGACATAAAGTGCTACTTGTGGAAAAAAAGAGGCAGAAGTGCTCCAGAACAAGCTAGAGGAACGAAAACAGAAAAGGAATGGATAAAACTCAGCGTATGAAGCTTTTTGTCCAGTGCAGAGAGAGAGAAAGAGAGAGGGATGAAATGAAATTGATCTGCTGGTAAATGCTGCAGCTTCAGTCCTCTGAGAAAAAGCAGGAAGAGAAAGCCTGCAGCCCTAATGGCAGTCGAGCACTTACACTAAAAAATTTCATAAATAACATACACACTCGGGAAGGCTCTTACAAGTCTTCTGATCACTTCAGTACAAACAAAAGTGGCCAGTATAAATGTTGACCCACACACATGCAGAATTTATACATTTAATGTCAACATAAAATACAAAAATCCATGATCTTGGCCTTATTGGTGATATTGCTTTTATACAAGTTCAATATACAATAAGTTAATGTTAAGTAACTTACATTTTAGACACAATAATGCTAGTTACTTTTTCTGTTACTTTTAATTGCCAAAGAAAATAGTGCCAAACAAATCTGCAACAGAACCATTGTGTGTCTCTGAGTAACACATAGTAGTGGCGTTTCATTCCTGAATGAATCAGCGTTTATGATTTTATTCTCTTGAATGAATGATTCAGTGCCTCAGTGTTTTCATTCTTGAATGATTCATCGTTGCTGAACTAATGAGTTTAATGAATGAGTATGCTCACAGATATGAATGAATTGGCATTCTGAACAAATCGTTTCAAAGAATGAGTCAGTGATTCCTAACGACAGTCATTTGTCGCCACCTACTGGTGTAATGATGTAACATACAGAAAGAGTCATTAGCTATGTTTCCATCCAAAGTTGCGAATTTAACTTGTGCGCAGAACTGGAGTATTGCATAAAACATTTGCGAATAAGCACCGTTTCCATCCAACAAGTCAAAAAGAACTAAACCGTCACTTCCTGATAAACTGACACTAAATATCACTAAGAAAATAGGAGAAGCCACTGAATATTATAATTTCCATATATAATAAATTACTTGCGCCTCAGTCAGAGCGAGCAGACGAAACACAGTAAATGCGGTCATTGCTATCGGAGGTGGATACCTGCTGTTTGGGAACACAGTCGTGTAAGACAGTTTTGGGAAACAAAATACTTTGACGACAGACTTTCCTCAGGCATTTCAGAATGAGCATAACAACATTTCAGATGCTGTGCAACGAGATCGGTCCGCTGCTTAGTCAGGTTATGCCGTCCCAAGTCACTAATAGCTATTGAAAAATCCCCACTGCTAATGCAAATTCACATTTACTTTTATTAATTTATCAGCTCTTGGAAGACCGGAACTGGGAAGTCCAGTGAATTATAACTCTTAAAATAAAATCAGGGTTTCTGCGGGTCTTAAAAAAGTCTTAAAAATCTTAAATTTAGTTGTATCAAATTTAAGGCCTTAAAAAGTCTTAAATTGTACAAGAAAGTTTTAATTATGATTTTAAGAGGTCTTAAATTTGGGGATGGAAAGATCAGAATTCCGATATGGCTGAATGTGGCGATTAAACTTCAAAAGGCTATGATTTAATTGAATAAACACGAGCGCTGCACGTTCAAAGTCCGGTGCTGCTTTGTGTTCTGCTGTTACCAGGGAACAGTTATATTTCTACCAAACGCTCCACCTGCTGGCAGAGAATGAATGAGCATTTTCAATAAAACTGTTGTTTTGTTCAGAGTTCAGACCAATGCAAAAATCGACCCATGTTTTTACCCTGCAAACACGCAGAGCTTTAAATGTGAACTGGTGGATCGATAAGAAGACAATGCTTTATAAAAATCTAAACAGTATAGGGGTGTGCGATGTGTATATTTATATAATTTCATATAGTTAATATCACACGAAGAGTGCCGTTTTTTTCTCCAAAAGTCAGCATGATTACAAATGTGATACTGATTTCTTACAACAGTTCAATAAACAAGAAGTTAATATTAAGAGACTTAAGTTTTAGACACCATATTTCCTGTTTTTGCTCTATTTCTCCAACAAAAATCATTCCAAACACAGCCACAGTGCTGTTTTGTGTCTCTGAGCAACAGACAGTGTTTCCTTCCTGAATTAATCAACCGTTTAAATGATTCGGTTCAATTGCAATGACTCACTAAACAGTGACATGCTGCCACCTACTGGCGGTTTTAATTTCACATTTAAGGTACTTTTTCATTTTTTAAATAATTTCAAACGTCAGTTTTCAATGTTTTATGTTTAAAATATAAAAAAATTATTTATGCATTTGTAACTGCAGGTTAAAGTATTCCATGTCCCTCAGAGCTGCATTAAACAGTGTGTAAATGCATCTAAATGCCACTTCTAATGCCGCTTCTATGTTTCATCTGCATTGCAAAGATCAATTTTGTTGATACTGATTTCATTTGCTTGGTAACAGCCCAAATGTAAGAATTTGACTCAAAAGATGGTGCACACTTTTAGAAAAAAATGTCTTAAAGGTAAAAATGCCCATAAAACTTGTTGGAAATTATTAATTTCTATCACTGCTGTGAACTGACCACACAGAATATGAAGAATATCAAAAAATTCAGGATTCAGCTGTCAGCACAATTAGAGAAAAAATATCAGCACAATAACACACTCTATAGCAAAATATTGTCTAATTATCGTTATCGATAAAATCCCAGAAAATTATAGCGATATCATTTTTTTGTCAATGTCGCACACACCTAATTTATGTTATTTAATTGATATAATAATTTATTGGTAATAATTGTTTAAATTAATATAATAATACTTTTGACTCATCTATTTTCTTAAAAATGGTTTAAAGTCTGAAATATAAAGTTTATCATTTTATAAAACTTTTAGTTTTTGTGAAAACTTGTATCTGAACTGTAAATTAAGCTTTTTACAGTAATTTTACAGTTTAATACGGTACTATAGACATTGCCCTACCCAACTCATATGGTATTAATTTTATTTGTGCAGGTCTTAAAAAGGTCTTTAAAAGGTCTTAAATTTGAGCTTAAAAATCCTGCAGAAACCCTGAAAATGTACCTTGTTTCATTTGATTATTTTCTCTTTTTATTTGGAAATTGATTGAAGCAAATGGTTCAATGATTTCACATAACAGATTAATAATAAATCTGGCAACAGCTGCTTCACATTATGCAGCACTTAAGTTAAAAACAAAACAGTAAATCTATAAAAGGGATGGTTCTTCTGAATTTACTTACTAAACTCTGATTGAATTAGCCACATTTAAATCCATTAACAGTATGTGCTGTTTGTTTCTTCCTGCAGGGTGGAGAACACTGTTACTACCATGGGAAAGTACGTGATATTCCAAAGTCATATGTGGCGCTTTCAACTTGCCATGGATTACAGTAAGTCCTTCTAAAGATGTGCTGCATGTCTGAATGAACAATGCAGGCCAAAGCTGCGATTATCCCATTCAACAATTAGAGCTGTATAATTACAACATGCTATTATCCTCCTCTCATATCACACACTGATGCTCTCAGCACTCTTTGTGTCTTATGTGTGTGTGTGTGTGTGTGTGTGTGTGTGTGTGTTTCTTTCGTTCTCCCCTGTACTGGATGCTATAATGCTTATTGCATCACATCTGGCCTTTTGATCCTCTATTGCAAATGGAAATTGATAACATCACTTCCTCTTCTGCTGCATGCAAATGGGGTATCCCACAGGGATCCGTTTTAGGCCCTCTTTTGTTTTCTCTCTATCTTCTTCCTTTGGCTAATATTTTTCGTAAGCATCAGACGTCGTATCATTGTTATGCAGATGACATACAGCTTTATCTCCCTGTTAAGTCTGATGAGAATACGTCTCTTCAATCATTATTTGACTGTTTTAATGAAGTTAAAAGTTGGATGGCGGATAACTTCCTTCAATTAATTGACTCTAAGACAGAAGTGTTGGTTTTTGGACGTCCGGATTTTCCAAATACCCTCTCAAAGACCGTGGCTCCTATAACTAACACCGTAGGTTCTCATGCAAGAAATTGATCTAAAAGTTATTTTTGACCCAGCACTTAAATTTGAGAAACAAATAAACTCAGTTGTCAAATTTGCATTTTTTCAGCTTAGGATGACTGCCAAAATCAAACCTTTTCTTTCATTTAAAGATTTTGAAACTGTTATCCACATCCAGACTTGATTACTGTAACTCATTGTATTTAGGGGTCGCTCAATCTTGTCTATCTCGCCTTCAGTTGGTCCAAAATGCTGCGGCCAGTTTTTTTACAAAAACTAGGAAGAGGGAAAATATCACTCCTGTTTTGGTTGGCTTGCATTGGCTTCCCATTGAATATAGAATCCAGTTTAAGGTATTACTATTTGTTTACAAGTCCATCACAGGCCTGGCACCAAACTATTTATCTGGTCTTCTCCCCCATTATCAGACCAACAGGCCATTAAGGTCATCAAACACTTTGTTGTTGTCTGTTCCTAAGACACGTTTAAAACTTAAGGGGGATCGGGCATTTTCGGTGGCAGCACCTCAGTTGTGGAATAACTTGCCTCTTTGCCTGCGATCGGCCACTTCTCTTCAGGTTTTTAAATCTTTAGTAAAGACATATATATATTTTTTAAAACTTATGGGCTGGAATAACTGCTGTATATAGTTTTATTGTGTGTATATTTAGTGTTGTGTATTATTTCTGTCACCTTTTTATTGTAAATTTGTTATGGTTATTGGCTTAATTCTACTTCTCTGTGCAGCACTTTGGTCGGCTCTGTCGTTTTTAAATGTGCTATATTAATAAATTAAACTGAAACTGAAACTGGAAAATGTAATATTTGTTGTGTTTGTAAGATTTATGTTTGTATTATTGGCTACCTGCTGTGTAAACCTGAAGTAAACCTAGCTGTGTTCCTGAGCCTCTCATGTGCCTGAGGAGAATTGAGTTAGTCTCTATAGAGTCTTATGAACACACACACCACCTCTATGCGTGGTTCTCTGGGATAGCTCAGTTCCTTCCGTCTGGATTTTTAGTGAGAGAAGGAGTCAGGTCAGTTCCATCTCTCTCTCTCTCTCTCTCTCTCTCTCTCTCTGTCTCTCTGTATGTGAATGCACAGAGTCAGGTCAGATGTAGCTCAGAAATAGAGCAGCAGCGCTCTTCACATACATAGTCATCATGCTTGAACGTTTACAGCCTTAATATCTTCTCCTCAAAGAATCACATATGCACAGATTTTGGAGGAAATTAATTGCTGTTGTTGTTTGTTTGCACATGCTCTCTGGACAAAAGAATAAAGAATTCAACATATTGTATTACAATTTAGTGAACTCATTGTAATATTATTATTTCAAGACAGTGTTCACATGTTTTTTGTTAAATGTTGATCTCTCTCTCTCTCTCTCTCTCTCTCTCTCTCTGTCTCTCTGTATGTGAATGCACAGAGTCAGGTCAGATGTAGCTCAGAAATAGAGTATTCACATACATAGTCATCATGCTTGAACGTTTACAGCCTTAATATCGTCTCCTCAAAGAATCACATATGCACAGATTTTGGAGGAAATTAATTGCTGTTGTTGTTTGTTTGCACATGCTCTCTGGACAAAAGAATAAAGAATTCAACATATTGTATTACAATATAGTGAACTCATTGTAATATTATTATTTCAAGACAGTGTTCACATGTTTTTTGTTAAATGTTGATATATGTTTAAATTAATATATAAAATATTCATTTTAGTTGATCAGACAAATATAGATGTCATTAAAACTAATTAATATTATATTGTGAAATATTGACAAAATGTAAAGATTATTTTCATTAACCGAAAAAAAAAAACTTAAAATACAAAATAAATTAGTGAAAATTAATCTGACCTATGTGAAATCTTTTGTTTTTATAATTTTATGCAGTTTAGTTTAAAAGAAAATGTACTTTTGTTAGAAGCCAGGTTTGTTCTTTGCAATAAACAATACAGTATCCTTAAAGGGTTAGTTCACCCAAAAATGAAAATTAGGCTGCGCTTTACTCACCCCCGAGGCATCCTAGGTGTATAAAACTTCCTTCTTTCAGATGAATCCAGTCGGAGTTATATTAAAAATTGTCTTTGATCTGTAGCAATTTTCATTTTTGGGTGAACTAACCCTTTAATGTGTTTTAAATGGAAACGTCTCATGAATAAAAAGTACACTATTGTTTAAATTTTGGGGTTATTAAGTTTTTAATAACTTGAGATGTCTCTTTTGCTGGCAAGGCTTTATTTATTTGATAAAAAATGCAGTAAAAATAGTAATATCTTGAAATATTATCACAATTTTAAATAACAATTTTATGTTTGAAGAAGCAGTTCCGGGAGCATGACATATGAGGTCAGCGTTGCGCATGCACCGGTGAGTCTCGTGAAAACCAACGTCTTTTTACAGGATCAAAGGAAGCAAAGTTTCCTTACTTTAGCAAAGGGAAACCAGTCTCCTCTTGGCTTATATCGAAATCCTCCGACATTCTTCTCTACAAATGCTCGTTTAGTACTTCTAATTCTTGACTGTTGTTTTATTTTGATCTCTCCGCTGCGTTTCCGCATGCGTCACTTCTGAGCAGCGTATGCGCAAAGCCGACCTCATACATCATTCCCCTGGAACTGCTTCTGTGTACAACTGTTGGCGCAAGCAACATTAAAGTGATTATTACGTTTTGAATATAGATAGTTTTCTTACAGAAATGCATCAGTTCGCTACAGAAGGCCTTTGTTCACCCCCCAGAGCGGTGTGAGACACTTTTTTTTATGGATGGGCGATTTTTATTTAAGTTCTTTTGGACTGAAGCAATGCAACACCTGCTGAGTGGCATTAAACAGCTTGAAAGATCAAAGACAATTTTTAATATAACTCCGACTGGATTCGTCTGAAAGAAGAAAGTCATATACACCTAGGATGCCTCGGGGGTGTGTAAAACGCAGCGCAATTTTCATTTTTGGGTGAACTAACCCTTTAATGTGTTTTAAATGGAAACGTCTCATGAATAAAAAGTACACTATTGTTTAAATTGTGGGGTTATTAAGTTTTTAATAACTTGAGACGTCTCTTTTGCTGGCAAGGCTTTATTTATTTGATAAAAAATGCAGTAAAAATAGTAATATCTTGAAATATTATCACAATTTTAAATAACAATTTTATGTTTGAATATATTTTAAAATGTATGTCCAGCATCATTACTCCAGACATCAGTGTCACATGATCCTTCGGAAATCTTTCTAATATGTTGATTTGGTTTATTATTATCAATGTTGAAAACAGTTGTGCTGCTTACTAGTTATGTGAAAACCGTGATACATTTTCTTTTATTATTTTATGAATAGGAAGTTTAAAAGGACATCATTTATTTGTAAATGTTATTTTATTACATTATAACATTATAAATGTCTTTATTGTCACTTTATTATCTAAAAAAATATAATTATCTTATTAACGCCAAACTGAACTGGAAATATGAGTATATAAACTGTGACAAATAAGAGAAGTAATAATACTGAGAGGAAATTATACTATCTCTTATGTGTGATGAGAACAGTGTGTATATGCTGAGAGGGAGGGAGTGGTGCTGCTGAGACTGCAGTTTTATGGTGGTTTATATTAATGCCATATTATAGGTCAGACAAACAGCATTACGTCACAGGCTGCTGATGACAGACTACAGCAGACGCTTTTAAAACCCCTCATCGACTGAGAGCTATTTTACCTCTTGCAGATCATTGACCTAAAGCCATTATTGATGTAGTTATATTGGCTGTTCTGTTATTATACAAACTTGGCTTAGGGTTGATTTAAGATCTTTTACATTATGTCTACACCGGACACAAGCGGCATGATGCATTAAAAATCTATCTAGCTGTCTGTCTGCCTGCCTGCCTGCCTGCCTGCCTGCCTGTCTGTCTGTCTGTCTGTCTGTCTGTCTGTCTGCCTGTCTGTCTGTCTGTCTTTTTGTTTTTTCTCTAAGTGACTCTCAAAAAACAGTGTCAGACTAGCGTCTGTCTTGATGAACTTTCATTTTCTGGTTTTCCATTGAAAATTCTTTCATGATTCATTCATCTGTGAGAGGGCAGTCTGTCTGTCTGTCTGTCTGTCTGTCTGCCTGTCTGTCTGTCTTTTTGTTTTTTCTCTAAGTGACTCTCAAAAAACAGTGTCAGACTAGCGTCTGTCTTGATGAACTTTCTCTGTATTTATGAATGTAGTCAGGCTAAAGGGCATTTTATCATCCTTCAAATGCTTTCAGAAGTCACCTTGAGTGTCTCGGCACTGTCTGGAGGCTCTCTGAGTGTCACCGACTGATTGATCTAAAAGATAAATTCCATCAGAGCAGAGAATGATATCCTCTCTGCATGTCTCAAGGCTAAAAGAGATGTCTGGACACAAAAATAAATACCTATACATACGCAGTCTCCACTATGTCTCATTATTCCTGAAGTATTATATTGGTACATAACAAGTGTGAGAATTACCTGCATTTGGAGAGTCAGCACTGAAACATCTAGATGGATGAATCTTATTACAAATGCTAAACATTTGTACACAAAATTGCATTAAAAATGTATAGTAACCACTTTTATATGGGTCAAAGATATTAAGATGTCCGCATCAAAAGAAATTGACAAAAGTGATTTTATGTCCATAGAAAGCACATTAAATGTAAGTAAAGTGTCTACTTTTAAGGTTTCAAATAAGTTTTTGTAGGATAAAATGTCAACATTTGGTTGAAATAATGTTACACTGGCATTCAGTGTAACACAATATTTATGTAAAAATTCAAACAACATGCTTATTCTGACGTGTACATATTAAAATATATAAAAGAATAAGGGAGCATATTAAATTTGATGTGTTTTAAATGAGTAAAAAATTCTTACTGACAAATGGGCAAAACCTAGGATAGTGGCAAATTTAAAAAATGTAAAATTACAACTAATTAGTATTTGGGGTGAAATCAGTCTTTTAATATGTCATAAATTGATTTTTGTTGTAAATATGCCTGACAAGATTGTTACATTGAATGACGTTTTAGTGGGTCTCTTCTGTAAATCAGGGAAAAATGTATGATATTTATTTTTTGCTCAGAAAAACAAAAACAAAATTGCAATTAAATTAAACAGAAAATTAAAAACAACAACAACAACAATTTACATCAGTATTACACTTATTGTTTTTATGCTTTAACACTTTTTCGTCTTTGACCCATATACAAGATGATAACTGAATGCCCCTCACTGAATTAATCATGCAGCATGATGAGGTTTATGTGAAACAATGTAGCATAGAACTGTTAATTGCATAGTTTTTCTAAATTAGTAGGCAGTATACAGTATATACTCTGCAGAATTATGCAGAATTGAATTGAAAGAACTTCAACCTTTCATTTCATCATAGTATTTGTCTATAAGGCAGATATAAACCTCCAAATTTAAATGCTTTTTAAACTTTTTAAACTTTATCAAGATTTTGTCAAACCAGCATTCAAAGTTTGTTGACAAACTTTGCTTCTAGTTAAAAAATTACAGTTTTTATTAAATTCTTTAAATGTTAAGTCATTTAAATTCTACTTCTAAATTGGATAGATTTAGCTAGCAAAATTACAGTTTAAATGTGAATGTAAGTAACATTCAACATCAATTAAAAAGGCTCTTTAATCAGCATGTTTTTGTATAACATTAGTTTTTAATATAATGGCCACTAAACTGTATAACGTACTAACACTGTAAACAATTACTGTAAAAATAACGGCCATATTCTGACAGTACTGTTTTCTATTAAATCAGAAATGTACTGTAGAAAACAATGCATTCTGGGCAATAATTTTCACGGTAAGCAACTCCTGTTAATTTACAGCCCATTTTCAACACTAATCTACTGTATTTATTAGCGCTGGGTTTTGACACAAATTTTACGATTCGATTCTCATTCACAAGCTTGCGATTCGATTCAATATTGATTATTTTGGATATAGATCAGGTACAGTACATGCCAAATTTTCTCAAAGAAAACTAAATCTCTCAACTAATGCTGTAAAACTGCTGAGTCAGTTGGTACTACATTACTATAATATTGAAGGTTAAAATTGACTGATTTGTTAAAATTACACTTGATGTTTTTAAAATAATAAAGTTACAATTATATAATAATATGTCTACTTCAATTTGTTTTTTTGAAATATAAACATAATGGTGGCTGTTATAAAAACTTGATGGATTTATTCAAACATAAATTAAACATTGAAGAACAGTACAATTTATAATGAATATGTTATATGGTGCATATATTTAGCAAAATGCCCCTCTCCACAGTTTATTTTTCTATCTGACTAATGAGTTTATGGTCACTGAATATGTTTTTCTGAGGTAAATGTGACGTTACGTGACATTGTTTACAAGCCTTTATATTGACATCTTTGGACGGCTGAAACACTGATTGAGCGATTAGGCTAAATGAGACAGAATACAGATTGTAAAGTTGTACTCTTTCTTTTAACTTACCTTCGGATGTTTAGTCATGTTTATTTTGTGCTGAAACTGGTATTAATGTGGAGGAGATGATCAGTTCACGTGCACCTTGCCGCATCTGTTGAACTGAGGAGCTACAGCGATCTGTCACTACACATTAAACAGTGCCAAAACAAAATTTATTGTTTGAATATTGCAATACAATTGACAGAATTTGAAATCTGAGACTTTGTTTCATATTAAAAGTATCAAAGCACAGTGCTTATTGCGATATATTGGATGGGAAGTGCCCTTCAATGTTCTGTCCATTAACTGAAAACAGGCTAGACTAATCGATTCTTGGGATTTAAGAATCGATATCGTTCCGTAAAAATGAGAATCGATTAATATCGAGATATCAATATTTTTTACCCAGCCCTAGTATTTATGTATTACGGTTTTGTACTGTAGTACGCAATGCATTATGGGCTGTCCATTTGAAGCAATAGCACAAAGGCGCTGAATGGTTGTTTCACATGAGTTTGAGTACAAGCACATTATTGATTGTTAAACTTTTAAAACACAATTTCATTTAACTGTATAAGCTATATTACCAAGTTTGAGTTTGTATTCTTTTATGCACTTTTTCTTACACAAATGTTCACAATGCTTTTAAAGGGGTCATATGACATTGCTAAAAAAACATTATTTTGTGTATTTGGTGTAGGGCAATATGTTTACGTGGTTTAAGGTTCAAAAAACACTATTTACCACATACTGTACATAATTGTTGCTCCTCTATGGCCCACCTTTTTGAAACGCGTCGATTTTTACAAAGCTCATCGTTCTGAAAAGTCGGTGTGCGCTGATTGACCAGCTATCTAGTGTGTTGTGATTGGCTGAATACCTCAAGCATGCGACGGAAATGTTACGCCCCTTACCTGGTTCAGGAAACTTTCCTCCGGTAAAATGCGCTGCACACACTCAAATATTTGGGTTGTACTGTTCTGGAACAGTGTTGTAAATAAAACTTAACCACTGATTTCTAGTTGTGTGCTCTTTTGGAAGGCCAAACAAAATAGTTGTCTCCATGATATGGCAGCGGCAACAATACTACAGCGAGAATAAAAGTTACGCCTTCTTTCTTTGTTATGCAAATCTTCCCACACAGTGACGTAGATATGTAGGGGCGTGTTTGAACGAGGCGTTTTAGGAAGGCGTGCTTTTACTGTGGTAATTTCCTTATATGATTTTAATTTCCAATGTATTTTTAGAGTGTTTTGTAAGTAATAATCACATAATATATTCCATGTATTTTTTTTTACAGTAAATAACTGTAATGTAATTTCACAGTATTAATAACATAGAATTACAGTATATTGCTGGTGACTCTGCTGCCAGTATTTTACCGTTATTTTACAGAGAAATTTTTTACAGTGTATGCATTACCATCTCTCTCTTTTTCTTTCTCTCTAGTGGGATGTTCTTTGATGGGAACCACACATACATGATTGAACCAGGAGGAGAGAATACTACAAGTGTACGTATAGTGGATTCCTGCTTTAAACAAAGCAAATATTGCCCATATCAGTATTATGAGATATATATCTGTCATCATGTTATTTATTAGCTTTAAAGTCAAAATAATTATTGTATTACCACAGTTTTTATAGCATACTTGCTGCATCTTTACTTTGGTTTTAAGGTGTCTGTGGATGAAACTAACTAAACTTGATAGTGATTGTTTGAGGCAAGGAAACTCCCCAGAGCAGTTTAACAGGGTATTTCCTGTGCAGACAGGTCATGTGTTGACTGATAAGCCCATCACACAGTCGATAGAGATACCTGACACTGCAAAAGCACAGCTATTATCTGCTAATGGCAGAATCCCATGTGAACGCTGGCGGAGAACGAGGAGGGCATATCAGTGAAAGACAAGCTAAAGCTGTGTCACTGAGACACTGAGGTTTTAGAGAGGGAATGTCATTTCTCAGTCGCAGAACGATGATCTGATTCATTAAGTGACTCACAGAGGTACATGTTAATGAAGAGATTTGTGTAATTTAAAGCAGCGGTGAAAGGCTGAGATGTTGAAGTTCTTTCATTAATGGGAGAATGAAGCCTGTTCAGTGACACAGGAGGGAGTTTATGATCCATTCACAGTTTGCTTTTTTCTCTCAGCTTTGTTTTATCTGTTCAGTCACATATTATAAGTCCAGAGTCTTTATGACATCAGAAATGGCTTAATGAATGAAATTCAGCATAATTCACACAAATGTTTATCTTTATAAATGTAAATGTATATTAAATATTTATAATAATGCTTAAAGATTTTATAAACACATGTATACACATTTTAAAATAATGTGGTAAAATAATATATATATATACAGGGCCTAAAACTAACTTTTTGCCACACTTGCCAATGGCCGGTGACATGCTAAAATTTACCGGCCAAAATTTTTTTTTACCGGCCATGAAACTCTTTTTGCAAAAACAGGCAGTTATTACTACTACAATAACTAAACATATTTACAATGTTTTTTTTCCTGCTGGTGCATTTTCCATCAATTTTACCTATTTATTATAGCCATTCAACATGACAGTATAATTGAAAGCTATTATTTTTAACATTTAATAGGCTCTGAAATATATAACAACTTTTAATTTAAGTGATTTGAAAACAATCTTCACATAAACTATATTATATATGCATAAACTATACATATTAATCTTTATTCAAGCTATAAAAGTTAATCAGCTACTAGAACAGTCCAAGGATTTCTCTTTTTTTTTGTTCTTTGATTTAAATCAATGACAGACTTCAGCAGGTTTCACTTTAAAATCAGCGCTGTCTCTTTAAAACCTGATGCATATAACCCGGATCTGACACATATCTGATTTTCTCCCAACTCTTTACTGACTCTTTAAATCAGCCAACGCTGATTTTTACTCGCATTTGGCGCTTGGCGAGTGTTAATTTTAGGCCCATTCAGACACAGTCAGAAACCAGAGAGACAGTATAGTCCTGTTTACCATATGGCACATGCATCTGTCATCCGCCTCGCACTGCAGCGGGGGACATGAAAACGTGTCCCTCTTTGGCCTCTGTAGCGTCTCTCACTGCTGGATTCTGCAAAATGCTCACAGTACATGCAGGGTCTCTGCCCCTCAACCTACCTGAAGTCATAATGAAATCAAAGTGGACCTTCTTTACTTTACTTTTACTCCTGATTTTTTGCACATGATTTTTGATTGATGTTTGCTTGGCTGGAAATAATTTTAGCCCTTAGCCAAATAGGTAAGAATATAGCTACTATTGCATGATAGTATATAGCTTTTCTAAAATCTTGCACAGTGAAGTATTAACAATAATTTAATTTATTTGCTAAATTATTATAATAATACATTTATGTTCATTAATAATAATGTATTTATTTATTTACACGACTGTTCAAATGTTTGTGGTCAGTAAGTTTTTTTAAAAGAAATTAATAGTTATAGGATAATAATGGAATTATAGGGAAAAACGTCATTAACAAATTGAACCTGTTAAGGTTGACTAATACCGGTATATAATATTATTATATTTCGTCTAGTGAGGCAGCGGCAGAAACGCAGGAAGCTGGAATGTGCGGCTTTATTCCGTGCTGCCGTCTCCACTACTTTCAAAACTCAAAGTGGTGCGTATACTAGCAGTATATTGTGTTTTTCCGCTTGACTTGCACTTCGCAACAACTCAAGCTTGTTTCTGCAAAGCCGTTTAGCATGTTTTCTACAAAAATGTCTGACGTGTTTACATTTTACACGGCATGAGAATGTGAAAAAGCTACGCTAAATCTGATCTGACCAGTCAGACTGAAACGGATTTCCAGGAATGTGATTTGAATAGGATTTCAAACCACATATGAAACAGATATAAACAGATATTCCATGTAGTTCATTTCCATTCAGAATATCTAAATATGATCTGATTTCAATCGGATTTGCACAAAAATCAGATTTGGGGTGACAGTCTGGACGAGGCTTGCTTAAAATCGATTTATGCTACAATCAAAATTTTCTGCTAGAAAAACAGGACAGTGTGTTTTTGGAGGGAGGGTTTTCATCTGATTGTACGTCAATGAGTTTGTGTTTTGAGAGACATCTCTTACTTCTCTCTCCATGTCTCTCATTTCCTCTATCTTACACTCAGCGGACAGTCGGGTTGATAGCGTTGGGGGTGGATGATCATCTCTGGAGCGGGGCGGCCAAGTAGGTATAACTGCAGACTGGAGATCTCCAAAATGGGGCGTGAACTCCAAAAGTGGGCAGAACCTCAAAAATGGGGCGGGGTCTCCAAATGGGGGCGGGAACTCCAAAACGGGGTGGGAGCTCCAAAATAGGGCGTGGCTTCCTCCCATTGACAGACAGGCACATGACACGCATGCGCAGTTTTTCCCCCAATCCACTTCAGTGCAAACTCCACCCCACAGCTGATTCTAAAGATTTTATTGGTTGTGTCAATTAAAGTGTTGATTTCCTACACTATGCTACAAAAAATGCTACACCTAAACCTACACCACACCTGACCCTAACCTTAACCCGTGAAATTGACCACAGCGGGATTGTGATAAAGAAAGTTGCAGTTCAGGAGATAAACAGTTAATAAGATTATGCGATATGAGATCGTTCCGTAACTCCCCAATCGGACCTCACCGGACAATGGCACCTTTTTAGTTGCACTCAGCATCACTACCCCCTCATACCCTGCGAATGCGTGTCATGTGCCTGTCTGCCAATGTGAGGATACCACGCCCTATTTTGGAGCTCACACCCCGTTTTGGAGTTCCCGCCCCCATTTGGAGATCTCCAGGCTGCAGTTATACCCTTCTCGGGGCAGCAGGCACCCCACCCCCTCAACATTTTTAACACACTTTCCAAAAAAATGAAAGTGTGCCATCCCCCAACCTGCTTTCTATTCATGATCTAGTCCCCAAGAGAACACACACACCCCCTCCTCTGCTCCAATACAGAAAACCCCATCTTATTTTAAGCCAATACATCTGAGAGGCCATCTGCGTTATATGGCTAATCCTCATACGTGAGTATATGGGGGGTGGACTGGAACAGCCTCCATAGAAACGAGGTCTGTGTCTCCCTCGTCTTTCTTATCTAGCTCACTGATATTCCCTCTGGCAGCGAGTGTAAGCGTGCAGAAGTGTGCTGGCAGGATGTGTAGTGTTCCTGTAGCTGAGCTGGTAGAGCATGGCGCTAACAACAGCAAGGTCATTTCCCAAGAAATGCATGTCTGATAATACGCACATCAAATTCACGTTAAGTTGCAAGTGTCTGCTAAATGCAGTGATGTAATTGTTGAATACTGGAGTTGTCTGATATTTCAGGTCAGCTTTTGTTTAACGTCTTGAGACTGACTGTCTCTCTGTTCCAAAACTAGTGAGCTGCCATCCTCCATAAAATGGAACCTCATAAGTGACTGATTTGAAACTCTTCATAGGCAGCCACTCTGTGTATCATATGAAAAGCACTCAATAGGCGTGGCTCTCATTTGATTTCGGTATATTTGCTTGAAGTCAGTGTTCTTAAGCTTTCGACATTGTACTCTACTAAGCATAAAATGCATAGAGCAAACAAATATTGGGTAAATTATTAATAAAATATTGGCTATCCAATTATTTAAAAAAAACTATAGATAAAAAAAATATATATATTTTTCAATATAATAAATGTTTTACCTAATAATTTATGAATAAATATTAGGGAATTTTTAAAAAAGTTATTCAGCCTTGAATTGAATTATATTTATAATCAACATTTATCTTGCTTTGCTTGCAGTATAATTGTTAGCTAAATGTTTTCCATTTTAATTTGATACAACATTTAAGCCCAGTAATTCAAAGAAATAACTCTACAGGTATGCTTTCCCTGAAGGCAATTCAGACACCAAGGGACAGCATTTAATAAACTGGTCTCAAGACATTAGTACTCTATACACTGATTATGTAAACAAATAAAAAAAACATTACATAAAATTTACATTTTGCAATAGAGCTTTGTAGAAACAGGCAAGATGAAATTGATCTTTGCAATATGTCATAGGCAATGTAATAGGAACTATTTGTTTTTAAGACAGTATAACAGTAAACAAACATACTACTACAGCATGTCATTCAAATGCTCTGAGTTACACTGCACTGACTTCTCTGGTGTGACACCTTTAAAACACAATAAAAACATTTGCACTAAAAGAAGAGAGTGGAATGCAGTGTAGTGTTTCATTCATGGTTTGTTGCTCATGTAAGGCTTATTACAAAGCATAAATCTAAAAGTGGAAGTAGTCTTGATAACAGTAGTTAAACTGCTCAAAGGCATCAGGCATCGGTGAGTAACAAGTCAGACTACAAGGTTATTTTTTAAAACCTGCAAACCCTTAAACATAAAAAAACACACAGATTATGTTACGTAAGTGTTCATGTAGCATCTTGACAGTTTTTAAACTGACGACAAAACAAAAATTAAAAATTTCTTTCCATTGCAAAA